TTTTATTTCTTTTTTTATTTCAGCCACATTTATTATGTTTTTATATTTTTCCCCAGTTGCTCATAATTTCCAATGATAACGTGTAAACCGCCAGTTATTAATATCGGAATAAAGCGGGAAACGTCAATCCAGGAATCTGATCTTAAATGTTAATTACAAATTCAAAAGCACAAAATTCACCACTTTTGTGTTGCTAATTATGTGAAGTAATTAATTACCATAATTAAAACACTAACTTCTGAAAGCTAATTAATAGAACATTTTATTTTACAAGTCCAGCATGGATGTGTCAGCGGCAATGTTTTGTTTTTTAGCTCTCCTTCTGTTGGGTTCCGTGGAATCAGCCGGTGCAGTCTGATTATAGTGCGAAATAAAAGGTAGTTAAAATTTATTGTATCGTAATGTGACATAAATCTCATATACCGGGGGCCCCAAATCAAAGCCTCAACGGTTACAAAGAGGGTCTCCATACGGTCCCTGTTAGGTACTTTATAGCAGTGGTCTCCAAAATGCGGCCTGGGGACTGTTTGCGGCCCGTTGCTTGCCTTTATACAGCCTTTGGGACATTATTCCCTTCACAGAAACCAGTGAAGGGGGACAATTCCTTCCATTGACACCAACGATGGGGCACTATTGTTCCCACCAGGGGCGGACTGACCATTTGGAAACTTGGGCACTACTCCATGAGAAGCCCCTGGTACCTTTTTCATAGGCTTTTTTGAGTTTGGGCAAGGACACAGGGGCCCCATGATCCCCTATTGCCCGGGGGCCCCATGAGTTGTCAGTCCGCCTGTCAGGAATGGACTCAGCACTGGTGGTGGGACTCACCTGCCGCGTGGGCTGCAGTACCAGGGCTGACCAGCGGGTGCTCTCAGCAGCCAGAAGCTCACTCCTGCAGTCAGCCAACACCTGGGGCTGATTGCAGGAGGTGTATTTAAGGAATGACCAGGCCTGTGATCAGGGCCTTGGTGTATGTTTCCCATGAGCCCCTGTACCTGGTAGCCTGTGTTCCTGCCTTGTTGCTTACCCTGCTTGATCCTGACCTCTGCTGACCGTCTCCTGTTGAACCCCTGGTTTGCCTGACCATCCTTCTGCCTGATCCTCTGTACCGCGCTGCCCGCTACCTGCTGAACCTGGCTTGTGACCCCGACCATTCTCTGCTTGCTTCTCCTGTACCACCCTGCCCGCACGATACCGACCCGGCCTGTCTGACTACGCTTACTTCACTCGACGATCCATCCATCCTGCACGGATCACCTTTAGTAAGTCTGCCTGCCTCTTCCCATCAGACTCCGTTCCTGCACTCCCCTGCCAGTACTCGCTACCACAGCCGGACGCACTCAGGGGTCGCGACCCGGTTCCAGTGTGCACCAAGTCCATCCCCACCATCAGGGGCCCTGGTGAATAGCAGGCTGGGACTTAGACTCCACGCCCTGAGGAAATCCGTCCTGTGGGCTGCCAGAGACACAGCCAGGCGGCATCTGACAGTACCTTACGGCCTGCCTGACCATTCCACCTCTCCAGCCTGACTACGCCTGTGTTCCTGAATCCTGCTACTTCCCTGTGTCAGTCCACACATTTCTGGTCATACCCGGATCCCTAACACCGCCCCTGGTTCCCACTGTCACCAAAGTTAAAGCATTGTTTATTCCCACTGACATCAGGACCTTTTCTGCTCTCAATGGCCGCAGTCCGCCCCCCCCCCCCCCCCCCCCCCCCCCCACGCCCCCCGTTTGAAGAACAGTAAACTGGCCCTTTGTTTAGAAAGTTTGGAAACCTTTGCTTTAAAGCAATATAATATACACCGGTCAGCCACAACATTATGACCACCCAGCATAACCCGTCAAGGAATGGACTCCACAAGACCTCCGATGGTACGCTGTGGTATCTGGCACCACAAGCTGTCAGTAGCAGATCCTTTAAGCCCTGTAAGTTGGGAGGTGGGGCCTCCATGGATCAGACTTGTTTCTCCAGCATATCCCACAGATGTTCGATTGGATTCAAAGATTGAGAATTTGGAGACCAAGTCAACACCTCAAACTCATTGTTGTATTCCTCAAACCATTCTTGAATTAATCAAACCAAGCCACCTTCTTCCATTGCTTCTTGGTCCAGTTCCAATGCCCATGTGCCCATTGGATGTGCTTTTGGCTGTGGACACGGGTCAGCATGGGCACCCTGACCGGTCTGCGGTTACACAGCTCCATACACAACAAACTGTGATGCTCTGTGTGTACTGACACCTCTCCATCAGAACCAGAATTCACTTTTTCATTAATTTAAGCCCCAGTAGCTCTTTTATTGGATCAAACTACACAGGCCAGCCTTCCTTTCCCAACTCCATCAATGAGCTTTCCCTCTTTCCCTCCACACCTCCATCAATAAGCCTTCCCTCTCCATTTCCATCAGTGAGCCTTCCCTCCCCCCACCTCCATCAATGAGTCTCTTCCCAGCTCTGTCAATGAGCCTTCCCTCCCCTCTTCCATCAGTGAGCCTTCCCTCTCCACCTCCATCAATGAGCTTTCCCTTCACACCTCCATCAATGAGCTTTCCCTCTCCACCTCCACCAGTGAGCCTTTCCTCCCCACCTCCATCAATAAGCCTTCCCGCCCCACCTCCATCAGTGAGCATTCCCACCCCCCACCTCCATCAGTGAGCCTTCCCTCTCCACCTCCATCAGTGAGCATTCCCCCCCCACCTCCATCAATGAGCCTTCCCCCTCCTCACTTCCATTAATGAGCCTTCCCTCACCTCACTGCCATCTATGAGCCTTCCCTTCCCACCTCCATCAATGAGCCTTCCCCCTCCTCACTTCCATTAATGAGCCTTCCCTCCCCACCTCCATCAATGAGCCTTCCCTCCCCACCTCCATCAATGAGCCTTCCCTCCCCATCTTCATCAATGAGCCTTCCCTCCCCACCTCCACCAATGAGTCTTCCCTCCCCACCTCCATCAATGAGCCTTCCCTCCCCAGCTCCACCAATGAGTCTTCCCTCCCCACCTCCACCAATGAGTCTTCCCTCCCCACCTCCACCAATGAGTCTTCCCTCCCCACCTCCACCAATGAGTCTTCCCTCCCCACCTCCACCAATGAGTCTTCCCTCCCCACCTCCACCAATGAGTCTTCCCTCCCCACCTCCATCAATGAGCCTTCCCTCCCACCTCCGTCAATGAGCCTTCCCTCCCCACCTCTGTCAATGAGCCTTTCCTCCCCACCTCCATCAATAAGCCTTCCCGCCCCACCTCCATCAGTGAGCCTTCCCTCTCCACCTCCATCAGTGAGCATTCCCCCCCCACCTCTATCAATGAGCCTTCCCCCTCCTCACTTCCATTAATGAGCCTTCCCTCACCTCACTGCCATCTATGATGAGCCTTCCCTTCCCACCTCCATCAATGAGCCTTCCCCCTCCTCACTTCCATTAATGAGCCTTCCCTCCCCACCTCCATCAATGAGCCTTCCCTCCCCACCTCCATCAATGAGCCTTCCCTCCCCATCTTCATCAATGAGCCTTCCCTCCCCACCTCCACCAATGAGTCTTCCCTCCCCACCTCCATCAATGAGCCTTCCCTCCCCAGCTCCACCAATGAGTCTTCCCTCCCCACCTCCACCAATGAGTCTTCCCTCCCCACCTCCACCAATGAGTCTTCCCTCCCCACCTCCACCAATGAGCCTTCCCTCCCACCTCCATCAATGAGCCTTCCCTCCCCACCTCTGTCAATGAGCCTTCCCTCATCACCTCCATCAATGAACCTTGGCTGCCTATAAACCTGTCATCAGTTACCCTGTTTTCCTTCCTTGGACCACGTTTCATCAGTCCTGACCACTGCAGACCTTAAAAATCCCACCAGAGCTGTAGTTCTTGAGTTGCTCTGACCCAGTCGTCTAAACATTACAATTTGGTCCTTGTCAAAGTCCCTCAGATCTTTATACTTGTCCTATTTTTTTTTTTTTTTTGCTTTCAACACAACTTCAGGAACAACATGTTCACTTGTTGCCTAATATATCCCCCCCACGTCCAGGTGGCATTGGAATGAGATAGTGTTACTGATTTCACCTGTCAGTGGTCAGAATGTTATGGCTGATCGATGTACTTTTTCTCTGTGTTGGATTTTGTGCTGATTTTTTTTACCTCAGCAGAGATTAGACAGTAAAATATTTTATGTAGGAATGGTCTTCTCTTATCTCTGGTCAAACGAACGCATAACACCTCCCAGCAGGCCCCCGTTGTCCTTCCGCATGCAGCTGCATGAGATCCAAGGCGGCGATGGCCGCCATTTTCTGGTAATTATGGAGGATGATAAGCAGGTGTGCCAGCTGGTTCCTCTGATGTCCGGTTTGTGTAACCGGCGAGGCTGCGATAACAGAGCCAAGGTAGGAGATTCCTCATTAGCTGCAGCCAAATTACCAAAAACTTGGCCTGCAAAATCTCGCAACAACTGACATTACAGTCGGATTCTTTTCATTCGCTTCCCTTGGCGTGCAATTGCATTCCCCTCCTCCGCAGAGCTGGACGCACTTCTGTAACCGCTATCTGTGTATTGGAGGCCTGGAAGTTCTGTCCATTGAAGACAATAGGCTTGTTTCCAGAAATGCCGGAGTTAGAACACACACATAGCCCGCCATTGACAGTCATGGCTGTTCTTCTGCCTGAGAGGAGGATGGCTATAGAGAAGGGTTTACATGTCTTAAAGTGGAGCTCCACCCAAAAGGGTGAAGCTCCACTTTAACCACCTCCCGCCCGCCATATAGTAATATGACAGGCGGGGGGGGGGGGGGTTCTCTCGTTCTGGGAGGACGTCATATGACGTCCTCCCAGTCTCACTGCGCATGCGCGGCTCCCTCGGACACAGCGGATCACCAATCATGGAAAGAGCCAAAGATGTCGGCTCGGTCATGTGATCAGCTGTGTCCAATCACAGCTGATCACATGTAAACAGGGAAATGCCTGTTATCAGCATTTCTCTCCTCACGAGCTGTCACGCTGACAGAGCAGAGCCGGTAATCGGCATTCCGCGGAGGGGACATGTGCACTGATGATCATCAGTGTAGCCCCAGCAGTGCCACCTGCCAGTGTCCATCAGTGCCTTATGTTAGTGCCCATCAGTGCCACATATCATTGCCCATCTGAGCTGCCTTTCAGTGTCACCCATCAGTACCAGTCAGTGCCATCTCTCAATGCCAATCAGTGCCACCTATCATTGCTGCCAATCAGTGCCTGTTAGTGCCACCTATCAGTGCCAGTCAGTGCCGCCTATCAGTGCCAGTCAGTGCCATCTATCAGTGCCAGTCAGTGCTGCCTAGCAGTGCCATATATCAGTGCCATGTATCAGTGCTGCCTTTCAGTGCCCATCAGTGATGCCTGTCAATGCCCATTAGTGCCACCTACCAGTGCCTCCTCATCAGTCCCCATCAGTGCCACCTATCAGTGTCCATCAGTGCAGCCTATCAGTGCCCATCAGTGCAGCCTCATTAGCGCACATCAGTGAAGGAGAAAAATCACTTATTTACAAAATTTTATCACAAAAACTAAGAAAAAACATTTTTTTTTTTCAAAATTTTCCGTGGTTTTTGGTTTGTTTAAGAAAAAATAAAAATCCCCGAGGTGATTAAATACCACCAAAATAAAGCTCTATCTGTCTCAAAAAAATGATAAAAATTTCATACGGGCACAGTGTTGCATGACCGCGTAATTGTCATTCAAAGTGTGACAGCGCTGAAGGCTGGAAATTGGCCTGGACAGGAAGGGGGTATAAGTGCCCTGCAGGCTAGTGGTTAAAGACTGGTCCTCCGCTCCCCATTAAGGATTGGCACCTTTGTGGAGTGAGGGGGGGGGCAGGTATCCGAAATTGACAGGTACCCATTCCCATTCCACTTCCGCTGCGATTGTCTAGGGGATCAGAAGCGGATGATGTCCCCCCCTCTCTCCGCATGCGTGACAGGTCCCAGAAGACTACGCGACCAATCAGGAAGCGCAGCGCTTCTCGCGCATGCGCAGTGGGCACCCGGCTGTGAAGCCGCAAGCTGTCACAGCCGAGTGCCCACACTGAAGATGCCGGTGCCTAGAACACCAGATGGATGGTGAAATAGGCTTCAGGGAGGACACCGCGGGATCGTGGGACAGGTAAGTGGCTGTTCTTTAAAAGTCAACAGCTACAGTTTTTGTAGTTCTTGATGAAGGAGGGGTGCCGGCTGTCCGACATCCACAGAAGGCTGCAGAATGTTTATGGAGATGACACCATTGTCAAGAATCATTCATTGCTCTTCTCAATGGTGTCATCTACATGATCAATCTGTAGCCTTCTGTGGATATCAGACAGCCGGCAACTCTCCTTCATTGACAACTCAATGACCACATGTTGCTTTTGCTTTAAATCCATTATTTCCTGCAATGAAGAAGAAGAGTTACTACAAAGGAAGAGTTACTCTACCAACATGTCAAATTTGAATGACCTCTATGAACTTACTTACGTCATTCAAAGGTCAAACGTTGTAGAATAACTGTTCCTTTATACTAACTCTTCCTCTATAGTAACCCTTCCTCTATAGTAACTCTCCCTCTATAGTAACTCTTCCTCTATAGTAACTCTTCCTCTATAGTAACCCTTCCTCTATAGTAACCCTTCCTCTATAGTAACTCTTCCTCTATAGTAACCCTTCCTTTATAGTAACCCTTCCTCTATAGTAACTCTTCCTCTATAGTAACTCTTCCTCTATAGTAACCCTTCCTCTATAGTAACTCTTCCTCTATAGTAACTCTTCCTCTATAGTAACCCTTCCTTTATAGTAACCCTTCCTCTATAGTAACTCTTCCTCTATAGTAACTCTTCCTCTATAGTAACCCTTCCTCTATAGTAACTCTTCCTCTATAGTAACCCTTCCTTTATAGTAACCCTTCCTCTATAGGTAACTCTTCCTCTATAGGTAACTCTTCCTCTATAGTAACTCTTCCTCTATAGTAAAATCTCCCTCTATAGTAACTCTTCCTCTATAGTAACTCTTCCTCTATAGTAACCCTTCCTCTATAGTAACCCTTCCTCTATAGTAACCCTTCCTCTATAGTAACTCTTCCTCTATAGTAACCCCTCCTCTATAGTAACCCTTCCTCTATAGTAACCCTTCCTCTATAGTAACCCTTCCTCTATAGTAACCTTCCTCTATAGTAACTCTTCCTCTATAGTAACTCTTCCTCTATAGTAACTCCTCCTCTATAGTAACCCTTCCTCTATAGTAACTCTTCCTCAATAGTAACCCTTCCTCTATAGTAACTCTTCCTCTATAGTAACTAGAGATGAGCGAAGTATTCAAAAATTCGATTCGACTGATTCGGCGAATTCGTGGAAAAATTTTGATTCGAGTCGAATATATTTGCTGCGAATTTAACTTATAAAAGGGTGTTTCTAGGCTTCAGAGAGCCTGTATATTAGTGCAGAACACTGTACCTTTAATTTAAATGCCCTTGGAGTCTGCTGGGGAAGAGAAATAATACTGTCAGTCAGTATGACATGCAGATGAGTGCCGTCGATCTTAGAATCACCGCACACTTCACTCATTTGGGCAGTCACGGGGCCAAAACCAGAGTGTGGAGCCACAGTGTGGCGGTGGAGGCAGCAGCAATGGGAGGCCATACAGCACCCTATGACAAAAATGGAAACCACCAGCAGTGTGAGGAGACCTGAAAGTGGCACATGGCAGAGTGTGGCGATGGAGACAGCAGCAATGGGAGGCCGTACAGGGACCCATGACACACTCTGGACCTGGCAGCAGCATGAGGAGGCGGTACAGGGGCCCATGACAGATTACGGGCCTGGCAGCAGCATGAGGAGTTGGAACGGGGGCCCATGGCAGATTACGGGCCTGGCAGCAGCAATGGGAGGCCGTACAGGGACCCATGACACACTCTGGACCTGGCAGCAGCATGAGGAGGCGGTACAGGGGCCCATGACAGATGATACGGGCCTGGCAGCAGCATGAGGAGTCGGTACGGGGGCCCATGACACACTCTGGACCTGGCAGCAGCATGAGGAGGCGGTACAGGGGCGCATGACAGATTACGAGCCTGGCAGCAGCAACTTGGACAGGAGGACGTTCAGCTTCTGCACCGTCGGGTGCGTGCTCGCAAACTGTTGTCTCTTGGAAACGGATTCCAAGAAAGACTGCTGACGGAATCCGTGAAGAGGAGTAGCAGGAGAAGGAGCATCTGAACGAGCGGAACATGCCAACAAGCGACAACAGGGGCCCATGACAGATTACGGGCCTGGCAGCAGCATGAGGAGTCGGTACAGGGGCCCATGGCAGATTACGGGCCTGGCAGCAGCTATAGGAGGCCCGTAAATCTGCCAGCACCCTATGTCAAAAAATTGAACACACCAGCAGTGTGTGAGGAGACCTGAAAGTGGCACATGGCAGAGTGTGGCGATGGAGACAGCAGCAATGGGAGGCCCGTACAGGGACCCATGAGACACTGTGGACCTGGCAGCAGCATGAGGAGGCGGTACAGGGGCCCATGGCAGATTAGGGGCCTGGCAGCAGCTATGGGAGGTTCGTAATCTGCCAGCACCCTATGACAAAAAATTGAACACACCAGCAGTGTGTGAGGAGACCTGAAAGTAGCACATGGCAGAGTGTGGCGATGGAGACAGCAGCAATGGGAGGCCGTACAGGGACCCATGAGACACTGTGGACCTGGCAGCAGCATGAGGAGGCGGTACAGGGGCCCATGGCAGATTAGGGGCCTGGCAGCAGCTATGGGAGGCCCGTAATCTGCCAGCACCCTATGACAAAAAATTGAACACACCAGCAGTGTGAGGAGACCTGAAAGTGGCACATGGCATGAGACACTGTGGACCTGCCAGCAGCAGCATGAGGAGGCGGTACAGGGTCCCATGGCAGATTAGGGGGGCCTGGCAGCAGCTATGGGAGGCCCGTAATCTGCCAGCACCCTATGACAAAAAATGGAACACACCAGCAGTGTGTGAGGAGACCTGAAAGTGGCACATGGCAGAGTGTGGCGATGGAGACAGCTGCAATGGGACGCCGTACAGGGACCCATGAGAGACTCTGGACTTGGCAGCAGCATGAGGAGGCGGTATAGGGGCCCATGGCAGATTAGGGGCCTGGCAGCAGCTATGGGAGGCCCGTAATCTGCCAGCACCCTATGACAAAAAATGGAACACACCAGCAGTGTGAGGAGAAGTGAAAGTGGCACATGTTTGGGGCATGATTCATGGCGGATTTAGTCAGTTGTGTCAGGAACTGGTGGTTTGAAATCTAGACTAATCCACGCCTGCCTGATTCATTTTCACAAACGTGAGTCTCTCCACACTTTGGGTGGACAGTCGTGTCCTCCGCGGAGTTACAATACCTCCTGCCGCACTAAACACACGCGCTCCGATGCCACGCTACTGGCCGGGCATGACAGCCTTTCAAGGGCAAATTCAGCTAGTTGGGGCCAAAGGTCAAGTTTCGTTGCCCAGTAGTCAAGGGGATTGTCTACCTCGGTTGGCAGGGTGCTGTCCAAGTAGGCCCAAGCCTGTTGTTTGAGGTCCTGCTCCAGGTCCACCTGATGCTGCTGCGGCTGGTTAGTAGTTTCCTCACTGCGCTGGTGAAGAAAGCTACTCATCATCGACTGCAGACTGAGGCAGCCGCTGCTGGTGGAGCTACCACTGCTCCTACCACCCCACCCCTCCCCTGCTGCCATGGCAGCGGAACGCGAGCGCACAGGGCTCACAGTGTCTGAGGATGGACGTTGGCGCACAAAGGCAGAGACCAACTGACTACATAGGTGGTTTATATAGTACGTTATTTTGGCCTCCCTCTCAGCAGGTGTGAAAAAGGCCACCATTTTTGAACGGTAGCGAGGGTCCAACAAGGTGGACAGCCAAAAGTCATCCCTCTGTCTGATGGTTATTATTATTCGGCTGTCGCTACGCAAGCAACCGAGCATGCTATGGGGGCCATTTGTGCCAAGGAATGCGAGGGACTCCCTGCCTCCATCTCCACAGCATACTGCCACGGTGCGTCTGGGTCCTCTGTCTCCTCCTCCTCCTCCTCTCTACCAGATGCTCCTGCTCCTCCACTCCTGTCCGCTGAGTGGAAAAACCACCCATTTCACTCAATAATTCCTGAGCACCAATGTCCTCCTCTACCTCCTCCTCTTCTTCCTGTCCTGCCCCCCCACAGAGGTCATGTGGCGTTGAGATCTGTGCGCCACGTCTACCGCACCCTGACCAGCCATTGTTAACAGCATTTGTTCCAGGACGTGCAACAGAGGAATGATGTCATTCATCCCATAGTCCTACCGACTCACGAATAGCGTGGCCTCCTCAAAGGGCCTGAGCAAGCGGCAGGTGTCACGCATGAGCTGCCAATGACTGACATCGAAGTTACACAGGGGAGTACCTTTATCCGCTTGTAACATCAGGAAATCGGTGATGGCCTTTCGCTGTTCGTAAAGGCGGTCTAACATGTGTAGGGTTGAATTCCACCTTGTTGCAACGTCGCAGATCAGGCGATGCTGTGGAATTCCGTTCTGCCGCTGCAGCTCAAGGAGGGTGTGCTTTGCGGTGTAGGAATGGCTGAAATGCATGCAAAGTTTACGTGACATTTTAAGGATGTCTTGCAGTGGGATGGTGGATTTTAGGAACCGCTTGACAACCAGATTGAACACGTGAGCCATGCATGGCGCATGGCACAACCTTCCTTGACGCAGAGCAGACACCATGTTCTTTCCGTTGTCGGTCAACATGGTTCCGATTTTCAGTTTGCACGGAGACAGCCATCTGTCGATTTCTCTGTTCATTACACTCAGAAGTTCCTCCCCTGTGTGACTACGTTCGCCAAGGCATACCAGGTGCAGCACAGCGTGACACCGTTGCGCCCTGCACATGTGATATGCCGGTCGGGTAATGGGACTTGGCACGGGGGTGGCGGCTGAGGACACGGCGGAAGAAGAGGTGGTAGAGGCGGACATCTTTTGTGGACCAAGGACGTGCAAACGTGGAGGCAAAAGCGGCGTGACCTGTCCAAGTTGCTGGTGCGGCTGTGCCGGCACCACGTTCACCCAGTGGGCTGTAAATGACATGTACTGTCCCTGACCGTAGTTACAGCTCCACACGTCGGCGCTGCCGTGCACTTTGGCAGAGACCGACATGCTCAAAGACTGGCCCACCATCTCTTCTACATGTGAATGCAGGGCTGGCACTGCCTTTTTGGCGAAGAAATGACGGCTTGGCACTCTCTCCACCGCGGCGCGGCACAAACCATCATTTCTCGGAAAGGTGCTGAGTCCACCACTTGGAAAGGGAGGGACTGCAGCACCAGCAACTTGGACAGGAGGACGTTCAGCTTTTGCACCGTCGGGTGCGTGCTCGCAAACTGTTGTCTCTTGGAAACGGATTCCAAGAAAGACTGCTGATGGAATCCGTGAAGAGGAGTAGCAGGAGAAGGAGCATCTGAACGAGCGGAAGATGCCAATGAGCGACAACTCCCCTCAGCAGAGGTGTTGGAGCCTTGACTGGCTGATGGAGGGCGATTGACGTCGGGTGACGGAGCAAGTAACGGAGCAGGTGCTGGGGCGGGCAGAAACCGCCGTATCTTTATCACGGTTTTCCCAGGCCACCAAATGGCGACGCTGCATATGCTGCCGCAACGCTGTAGTCCCAACATGGGCCCCCTGGCCACGCTTGACTTTCTGGCCACATAGTCGACATACGGCTACGTTTACTTCCTCGGGCGGCTTGACAAAAAATTGCCACACACCGCCGAGTAGGAAACTTTGCCCCCGCTACTCCTCACTGGCTGACTGCTACTTCCTCCGTGCACACCGGCACCACTACTGGCCGTGGTGGTAGGCTGCAGTGGAGCTGGTGCTCTACTCCGTGGCCGTTTGCCTCCACTGACACTGCTGCGACCCTGCTGCCTCCTGGGCAACCCACCGACTGTTTCGCTCGCTGCCAAGCTGCCACCATCTTCTCCTGATGATGCGGAAGCAATAGCCTGATGACGACGAGGCTGCCAAGTGCGATCAGCCTCATCATCATCAATTAGGGTCTCCGCCTCACTACTAGCCCCCTCGGCTGCGTGTGGGTCAGGAGACAGACCTGTCTCTACACCGGCTACCGAGCCACTCTCCTCGCCACTACTTCTTCGCCTGGCTGCTGAAGAGGCGGATGTCTCCCCCCGTTCCTGACCGCCCTCTGTTAGCTCTTCCTCACTGTACAGTGGGGCTGAGCCCACAGCATGCGATACTTCGCTTGGTGAGGGAACACCAAAGGACAGGGGCAGGTAGAGGACACGTGATTTCAGTGGGCTTGGTCCCGGGCCATGCCAACTAACGGTTGTGTCTGACGTACCCACCGACCGTTGGCTGTAGGTGTCAGAGGTGACCTGGGAAGAGGAAGACGACCGAGCCAACCAATCGATGACGGCAGGGTTGTCGGTGGAGACACGACCGCTGGATGACACCGGGGAGCACTGGCCTCTGGCTGCGAATAGTGCTGCCTCTGCTGCCACGTCTGCTCGCTCCTGAAACATTGCCTCCTCTGCCACTCCTCTGCATGTTGTCTGACATACTCTTTAATTCAACGATTCTGTGTCCCTGAGTAACAATTCTGTGTCTGTCCCTGAGTAACAATTCTGTGTCCCTGAGTAACATTTCTGTGGCCCTAAGTAACAGTTCTGTGGCCCTCAGTAACAATTCTGTGTCCCTCAGTAACAATTCTGTGTCCCTCAGTAACAATTCTGTGTCTGTCCCTGAGTAACAATTCTGTGTCTGTCCCTCAGTAACAATTCTGTGTCTGTCCCTGAGTAACAATTCTGTGTCTGTCCCTGAGTAACAATTCTGTGTCCCTGAGTAACGTTTCTTTGGCCCTAAGTAACAGTTCTGTGGCCCTCAGTAACAATTCTGTGTCCCTCAGTAACAATTCTGTGTCTGTCCCTGAGT